TTGAACCCTCACCTGTGTACCGACACATAATGTCCTGGTGTGAATTAGGGTGGGCATGTTTGAGCAGACATCTCAAAACAGAGTTGTAGATGGATGACAAGTTGTGTCTTAGTCCACCACCCCTATTTAGTGACTGTCTGGCCTTTTTGGATTGTGCAGTCCACTTGGGAGGGGACAGAAGCCTGAAGGTAGAAGTATATCAGAAACCTACACACACAGACCAGTACTTGCTTTTTGACTCACACCATCCACTTCAACACAAACTGGGAGTCATCAGAACTCTAAATCAGAGAAAGTGCCCACAACTGCAGAAGGGGACAAGAAGGAGAACCTACACATCCCTTAAGGCTTGTGGATACCCCAAGTGGGCCTTCACTAAAGCAACACCAACAGGGAGAAACCAGAAACAAAAGCGGATAACACTGTCATCCCTTATGTGGCTGGTGTTAGATATTAGTAATTGTTAGACCTATGTGTTAGTAATGCAATTTAGTAAGATTCAAAGTCTGCTCTAGTCTGTTTTGTTTCAAGGTTAGCAGACAGAATGTTGATTCTGAAACGTGAACCATGACACCAATTGTTTTCTTGTATTAAATATTGTTAGAATATTATGTCTGAATAAATAAATGAATGCCTTAGCTACGCACCACGTGACAACATACACACACATTGAGATTCTTCATTTTGTTATGACTAGGTAGAAATGCATCTGGAGTACTAGATAAGAGATGGAGTCTACAGACTGACTTCGTCTGGGTAAGGGGTTAGCCCAAAACTTATAAATGTATTAGGCTTTGTGTGGCTAGGGACTCCTTTTTCCAGCAGCAGTGTGTGTGTTTCTGGAGGAGGGAGCAACCCGGGTCGTGTTTGTAATTTTTACTTGTGGTTTAAATTAAATCAGCACTAAATGAAGAAAGATGGACTCCTTCGTTATTCAGAGCTGTCCAATAAAAGAACTGGGGTATTACACTGGTTTATCAGAGAAGTTAAAAATGATCTTTCGCAACCACAATATCTGTGGCGTATGCAATTAAGTTTAGTCAGGAGTGTAACAACTTGTACATTGGTGAAACTAAGCAGCCGCTCCACAAGCACATGGCCCAACACAAGAGGGTCAACTCAAGTGGACCAGAGTCAGCAGTCCACCTCCACCTGAAGGACAAAGGACATTCTTTCAGGACAGTGAAGTGCAGATCCTTTCCAGAGAACATTGCTGATTTGAGAGAGGAGTCAAGGAAGCTATTTTTGTCCAAATAGAACACCCCTAACATAGGTGCATATCCCTGCACAGGCTACACACATGGAGAAACACACATCTAGGGTAAGTGCAAACATTTTTATTGAAGTTTCTGCAGATAGCCATGTTGTTATGGTGGAACATCCGATGGCTGTGTCTGTCTACTTGAGTGGGATACTGTGGAGGCTTTGGCAGAATCTGGTATTTGGGTGAATGCACAGCGGGCAAAGCGGGGAGGGGTCTGGAAGCTGTGTTGGGCATACAGAGGCAGAGTGTCATTTAAGGGCACAGTCCAAACAGGCAACGAGAGGGCAACCCCCAGTAACCAGAATGAGATTGGTCCAGAATAGACCAATCCAGGTGAGGATTCATTTGTGCAATGTATATGCCTGCTTTGTTTCAGAAGGCTTTATAATAGACAAAGAAAATGTTCTTTCCATATTTCAGATCAGTCAGTCAGGATACATGGAACAAATAATATCATGATAAACTCCAAAAGCAACCACAAACTCCCCAACAGTCAGATCCTTGGATAATCTATAATCAGTGGTTTGAAAAATGGCCATAATTTCATCGGGCGATGGCATGTTTTGTTTATGTTCAGAAGACGGCAGAATGGGACTAACCAAAAAACTCAGTAGGTGTTTGCTTCCACCGGGGCTGGCACTTTCTCTGATCCTGTCTGTGCTTTTCATAGATGGGATGTCAAGGCACAGATGGGGGTGGAAGAGTGCTCCATCTGGGGAGTGGGCCGCTGCCCCAAAGTGAGGGAGTTGAACTATTCCAACTCCCAGCTACAGTGTCCGTTAAGATCACTGTGTTGAATTGTCTCAGTTAACACTGTTTCTTTTTTCCAGACTTTTTGGCCCTGACACCAGTACTCTAAATTTAAATATATCTGATTTCACTTAATATTAAACTGGTGTTGAAAGTTTTCAATTTAATCGCTCTCTTTTTTTTTCATTCCTACCCTAGCTGCCAATGGAAATCAGCCTTTATCAGTGGGTCCTCTTTAAATAATTGTAGGCATTATCCCAATCTGTTTGTGCTGGCTAAAATCCCATGAACACTTGTGAGAAATCATTTCAAAGAATTTCTGCTCTAGTATCAGTCTGGATTTAGGAAGTGCCACAGTACCTCCACTGCTGTTATGAAGCGTGTGATTCTTCTTGTAAAGAAGAATCACACGCTAACTTTGATACCAGGATAAGGTGGTTGCTGCTACCACTTGTTGACTAATTCAGTTCAGTTTTATTTGTATAACCACAAACCACAATGACAAATTATTAAATCATCCTTGAGCAAGCACTTTGTGACAGACCCAGGCTCTTGTTTAGAGCGACTCTATCACATTAATATTCATTACTAGTTCAAAACCAGTAACCCATCACTGTGCATTGCACTCCAGAGTGTGCTGGTTATCTCTTTTTCTATGATGTTTGACCCATTGGTACAAACGTATTTCTTTTAGCTCATCTTCCACCTATAATCTTAAATT